GTCCTAGTCCTAATGAGCATCCCCCATTCAGTGACTGTTCAAGGTGTTGTACCAAATCCATCCACCTTAGCTCAATTCCATAAAGTTATGAAGGGCAATGTCAACCTCCAGACCCACACGTAAGCAGTTTAGATTTAAAGTTCTAAATGTGTCTCAATTCAATGTTTTCCTCTGCCCAAGAATGTTCTCCTTATTCTGAGCTATTGTTTCAAAGATCATTACCTGATATACTTCTTACATATGAATCTTCATCTCAGAATCTGTTTTCTGAGGAACTTGATTTAAGATGATTTATGACAGGAATCATCTCAGGAATGGATCTAAAAATGTGATTTGGAGACTAGAGTAGCCACAATTTCATTGGCAATGGGATATCTATTGTTAGTGGTGGGTGGAGCACCTATGTGTCATGTCACTGTGGTAGATTTATTAAAACTTCCACAAGTGGTAAACTGAGTTCGTGGGAATCTATAGAAAGGCAATTGGGATCTTCCAAGGTGGTAGTAACTATAAGCACAATGGAAACTGATGATTGCTAGTTAACACTATAAAGGATGAGAGAAGACAATGAAAAGATCTAGACGACAAATCACCAATTCAAGTCAAAGTCCAAGGGCTTCTTTGACAGTGTATTAAGAGATTTTTTTTATCTTGGGCAGCCTGGTGGGGGTGGGCACAAGGAGAATGAGGATTAGGCACAGGATTCAATAATAAGCATAGAGCTCCAAAGAATGCTGATTTTCAATAGCTTATGTCAGGACCCTGGTTGGAAAGGAGCTGGATCCTAAAATATGAGATGAGAATATCATGTTCCATGCAGTTCAAAACCTTCAAATCCCAGGTTCTCTTGAAACTCTGAAATTGCAAAAATGATTGACTCTTTCCTAGCATGGAAATAATGGCTGTAGGAATGATGTGCAGCTTGCAAATTACTATGTGCTAACTGGAATGGATCCCACCTGCCTTTTTAGCTTCAGACAAGTAACTAGGGTATAAGGTGGCTAGAGAAGTGCTGAGCCTGCTAAAGGAGGCTATAGACACAGCCATTATATGACAGCAGGAGCTATAAGAGTATATATAGGGCTGAGTAATAGCAAAAAAATAAAAAAGTTGAATATCACCCAAATTTCTACCAGCAAATGAATGTCTAAGTTGTGGATTATCTAGTCAATTCAATACCACGATTCAATACTGCACGACATGCAAAAGAAGTGCACTACCAACACGTGCTACAAAATGGATAATACAAAATAATTTACTGAATGAAATAAATCAGACAAAAGATGTCACATGCAGTATGATTTCATTTATATGCATTTCTACAAAATGCAAACCAATTTATAAGTGACAGAAAGTTGATTGCTGATTGCCTGAAGATGAGAGAAATGGGAGGCGTGAGGGAGAGAGATCACAAAAGGGCACATGAGATTTTTGTAAGAAACAAATATTTCAGTTACCCTGATGGTTTTATAGGTGTACACATGTGCCAATTTTATGAAATTGTACACTTGAAGCATATTCATTTTATAACATATCAATCACACCTCAATAAAACAACTAAAATGAACTCACACAAACACATGCACAAAAAACCAATTCCTCTAAATTTTATAGGTTTGAGGTCTAGACCATTCATTTCTGTACCCATCACCATGCCCTTGTCATAGTAGATGCTACACAGATTAAAAAACAAAACAAAGGTACAACTTAAATATCACCTTTACCACGAAGTCCCTACTCTGTACACAGAAGAGGTGCAGGATCCTCTGATCCTTCTTCATCTGGCCCCTGCCTCTCTTTCCCCCAAGTCTTAGAAATCCTGAAAACTAAGAAACACTTTAGACCCACTTGGTGTTGCTTGGGCCACACATAGAATCAAGATGTTAGGATTCCTTTTTCAGTACAGCTTCCCTGTCTCCACTGAGTTAAAATTCTGATCTTTCTGATAGCCCCAAAAAGTCATTTAGAGTTCTTTCTCTGTTCTGTCTAGCAGCTGAAAGGATGCCTGTTAATAAAATCAGCAGTGTTATTTGTAGATCCTCCTGTGACATGATGGGATTGATAACTACGACTCTTCTTGGTGGTGAAGGGCCATCATGGAGTTGATCTTTGCTATATTAGAAAGAGGAAAGTGCTAATTTGATGTCCAGAAGCCAAGTCAAGCTGTATCTCTGGTGCCCCTTATGTCGCCTTCTTTAGTTTTAACCTCTCCATTATCCCCATCCACATTTTCCTATTTTCTTACCCACCCCAGCTATTCTTTCTTTCTTTCTTTCTTTTTTTTTTTCGGGGGGTAGTGGGTACCAGAGATTGAACTCAGGGGCACTCAGCCACCGAGCCACATCTCCAGCCCTATTTTGTATTTTTTTCTGAGTATTTTTTTCTTTCATTTTTTTTAAATACACGACAGCAGAATGCATTACAATTCTTATTACACATATACAGCAGAATTTTTCATATCTTTGTATATAAAGTGTGTTCATGCCAATTCATGTCTTTATACAGGTACTTTGTATTTTTTGGTTTTTTGAATTATAATTCTTATTACACATATATACCACAATTTTTCATATCTCTGTTTGTATATAAAGTAGGTTGACACCCAATTTGTGTCTTCATACATGTACTTTGGATAATGATGTCCATCACATTCCACCATCCTTGCTAATCCCCTGCCTCTTCCCTTCCCCTTCCACCCCTCTTCCCTATCTATAATTCATCTATTTCTCCCATACTCCACCTCCCTAACCCCTATGAGTCAGTCTCCTTATATCAGAGAAAACACTGGGCATTTGTTTTTGGGGGAATTGGCTAGCTTCACTTAGCATTACCTTCTCCAATGCCATCCATTTACCTGCAAATGTCATGATTTTATTCTCTTTTATTGCTGAGTAAAATTCCATTGTGTATGTATGTATGTGTGTGGGTGGGTGTGGGTGTGGGTGTATGTATGTGTATTGTGTGTGTGTATCACATTTTTTATCCTTTCATCCACTGAAGGGCATCTAGGTTGCCTCCACAGTTTAGCTACTGTGAATTGTGTTGCTCTAAACCTACATTCTGGGAGCAAATTTTTACCTCTTACAGATCAGATAGAGCACTAAACTTTAGGGCATATAAAGAACTCAAAAAGCTAAGCACCAGAAAAACAAATAACCCAATCAACAAATGGGCCAAGAATCTGAACAGACACTTCTGATTGTATATAACAGAGGATATATACAATCAATCAACAAATATATGAAAAAATGCTCATCATCTCTAGCAATCAGAGAAATGCAAATCAAAACTACTCTAAGATATTATCTCACTCCAGTCAGAATGGAAGCTGTTATGAAGACAAACAACAATAAGTGTTGGTGAGGATGTGGGGAAAAGGCACTCTCATACATTGCTGGTGGGACTGCAAATTGGTGCAGCCAATATGGAAAGCAGTATGGAGATTCCTTAGAAATCTGGGAATAGAACCACCATTTGACCCAGCTATCCCTCTCCTAGGACTATACCCAAAAGACTTAAAAACAGCATACTATTTTGTATTTTATTCAGAGATAGTGTTTCACTGAGTTTTTTTAGTGCCTTGCTTTGCTGAGGCTGGCTTTGAACTTGTGATCTTCTGCCTAAGCCTCCTGAGCGCTGCTGGGATTATAGGTGTGTACCTCCGTGCCTGGTTTACAAACCTCTATGTTTCAAGCTAATCAAATACTGCCACTTCTCAAGGACATTATGTTTTTGTGTTTCTTCTATTTGATGGGTATCTCCGTTAGCTAAAATAAATCTTTCTCTCCCTCTTCCTCTCTCTCTCTCTCTCTCTCTCTCTCTCACACACACACACACACACACACGTATGCACACTCATGCAATGGAATAGTAAATTCTTAACTAACTCATGAAAGACAAGGATATAAAGTTGGCATATAGCAGGGCCCAGAGCAGGCACAGATACTGTACATCTCAGCATAGCTTCTCTTGCCTGCCAGGTTCTCTGGAAACAGAAACCAGCAAAACTGCCTCACAGTGTACGCTTCATCTAATCTGATAGGGAAAACTGGGTTCTTTCAAACTATATTCCCTTTATACAAGATCTTATATCACCATTCTTGAAAAAGTCTATAGTGTTTAAGACAATATTAACACTGGGCATTCCTGGCTATTGAACCAGACTAAACATCATTGAAGCCTAGGCATGTCTGAACAATACCCAGCCAAGGTGTAAGGCATTCTGGAACTCCTTTCCTCACACTATATAGTATTTCTTCTTTAGTTAAAATGCAAAGTTGGAAAGAGAAAAGACAAATGGTGATATCCAGCATGCATTCCCAGCACACGACATTCCCATTGCTCTTGTTTCAAAGCCTGCATCGCCTCTTTCTTTCAGAGCCTTATATTCTGTTGCTCTTTGGGATTCATTTCACCTTGTTCCTCCTCTTTCTCTGTGTTTGTGTGCATGTATGTATATGTAGCATTTTGACCTCCTGTATGGAGATGAATATAGACTATGTGCTATGGAGATGGAGAAGGAGGTGAAGGCATCTCAAGACTAGATCCCAAGTCTATAATATGTTGGTCAATCTGTGTTCCAATTTGCCCGTGTTCAACTCATATTCCTGAGGAACCAATCTTAGATTCTTAAAAATACATGATTAATTCTGTTACATGTCCACATTTTCTAAGAATGTTGCTTTGGAATCAGCTTGTGTTTCATTTGTGACAATGTCATTTATGAGGTGATATCCTGAGAGAATACCTTGCAAACCAATTATTTGCTCTGTAAAATGGGATCTTTCTTGTATGCACTAAGTAAGATATAGTGTATGAAACAGACAGCATAGTGCTTGGAATATGGAGCCGATTTTTGAAGTATAATTGCTTTTATAGTGGTATAAAATATAATTTCCAAGGGTAACCATCATTGTTCAAATTTACAGTGCTGTCTGCCTTAGTGTACACATTCAGCAACACACATCCACGTATACAGAGGCACAGCCTACATTGATGTATATAGTTGAAATGCATTTATAATCATGGTGGGGGAAGATGATTTGGACTGCATTCTGGTTCTGTTAATGAATAGTAGTGGTAAAGTTACTTAACCTCTGTGCACATCAAATTTTTTCATCTGTAAAATAAAGACAATTTTAGTACTTCTGATAAAACTTACATAAGGACTAAACAATGTCTGGCACTTGGTAAAATAATGTAAGTGTGGGTGTAATTACTGCCATTTTATTTTACGGTGCTGCAATAAATAAAATAAAATGAAAATGAAATGACAGCAATAGTAAAGATTAAAGGTGTCGGCAAATACGCGAACCTCCTTCACTTTAACCCAATTTCTGCAACAGATGCTCCTCTCTTAATCTCAACAGGGAACAGATTTCACAGCCCAGGAGCATAATTACAGAAAACACTGGCTCCTGTGGTCACAAAGTTATACTTGGGGCACACTGAGTAACTGCCAATTCAGACCTCAATGGGTGACTAGGGCATATGTTGATAAAGGATCAGTCAAGAGTAGACTGTAATGTTCAATAAATGCCAGCAGCTTTCTGAAATTAAAAATAGAGGTCACCATGCTGCTCCATCAATAGGAAGCAGCAAAATTCAATACATAAACTGATAAATATGTCTCAGTCCTTCTTTCCTCCTTTCCTGTTTTTTCCTTCTGTGAAACTAACTTGGGTGTCTTTTGAGTACCTACCACATGTCAGTGAATGTGCAGGGTGGTATGGATAACATACACCCCTGCCTTCTGAAGCATGCAATTCAGGGGCAGGGTTTGTACAGAGTTTTCTGCTAAGTCAGTTCTCTTGGAGGCTGAACCAGCACCTCAGAGGTTGCTGCTCACAGTGATAACATGGAAGCTACTTGTTCTCTCTGTCTATTCAGATCTCTCATCCTGTATCTGCCCACCTTTGGGACTTTTTAATATCTCAAGATCTTCCACCATATGGTGAAATGGAACAGGAGGTTACCTTCTATCAGTCACCCTTACTCTCTTCTATTAAGGGCTCGAGTAAGAACTATCAACTGAAGTTGGATTCAGGAATCATCCATATGCTGATGTCCCATTTTCTTATTGTCTCCAGGCACACAGAATCGGCTATCTGTGGAAAAAAAAAAGCCATAAAGTTCAATAGGTTAATTCTTAGGTTAGAGGAACTGACATTCTTTGTTAATTTCAGCTTAGGGCACTCACTTCTGCTTGAAAAATTAGGCACTTCTTGGAGTTTCTTTTGCTTTTCATCTCTTTTTTAAGAGCAGTCAGCTATAGGTCATCAATATATTTCCAGTGGGAGAGAGAAACAGCAAGAAAAAGAGATAAAATGCTGACTGGAATAAGAGAAAATACTTCTCTTTGCATTGTAATCCTGGATGGTTTAGTTAAAGAGTGGATGGACATTTGTAAGTACACGCTACGCCATTGGAATGTAAGTCTAATATAGCCCCAAATACCTCTGTGATTAGTAAAATCATCTCAGACTGCCTCTGTGGGAAGATGGCTGAGCTGTTTTCATGGCAGCTACTTTAGGTTAACGTCAAATAGGATGTGCACAAGAGAAACACATGTGGGAAGGTATTGGAAAAATGGTGTGCAGTTAAAAGGGCCTCCCTTGAGTTATTCAGATTTCCAACTTTGTGATCCAACTATGACCCACTGAGAATTTGAGAACCCTGTTCCAGGTTTTCTGATATATGTTTACTTTGTTAGTTGTACTACATCCCAGCTTTGATATCATATGACACTGAGTTGTTTTAAATACAATTTAACTTAGATGGGTCTTTCCAGGGAGTGTGTGTGTGTGTGTGTGTGTGTGTGTGTGTGTGTGATCTAAAGTACTTTATAATACATACAGAAAAGTGCCAGAATTGAAGTGAATGGGGGAAGGAAATGAGGCCCAGATATTTTAATTTCTTTAAATCTGTTTCTCTTGTAAACTTGTAGATATGACAACCATACATATGTGTGTATAGATGTGTGTGTGTGTATGTGTGTGTGTGTGTGTGTGTGTGCTCTTTGGATGTGAGGCAGTATTTGAATACTTTCTTTTACCCTTTCATCATTTTATCACTGAGCTCAAATTATAGTGATGGTACGTTTTGAAAAAGGGGTGTGTGTGGGTATATGCCTATAGGCGTGTGTGCACTCTTTATATATTAAAACTCTACACACACTTTTAAAAATATCCCATCATTATAAATTGAACTTGGTGATAAAGTGATGAAAAGGTGAAAGGAACCATTCAAATACTTTGGGGAGGGACACAAACATGACTTTTGGTCCTCAGATTCAACTCTATGTACTAACATATTTTTGCATTTTAATCTTCTTGTACGAACTGTCAGTAATGTACACTAGAATATAAAAAAGGGTAAAGATATTTCCATTGAAAAAAAAATTTGAGATGTTGTTCCCAACCAGACTAGAGAGTTAGAAAGCCAACAGACTCAGAAACCGTGTCCTTAAACAACATCACAGCTGGGGAAATGATTTATTATGCTCCCCTCTAGGCAATGATGTTCACCTTGAGCAATACAAGACAGACAATCCTTGAGGACAGCATACTTACTCCCCACAGTGTCTCCTCTCCAGACTGTGCCTCGTTTTTAAAGTGCCCAGCATAGGTAATGGACAGGCAATAGTCTTTTAATGGTAAGCAGTTCTTTCTTCACAAAACTGTAGAACAAAGCCAAGGACAGTGAGCCCTCTCTGGATAATGTACATTAGCTCATTTTTGGTAATCAGCAATCCTGTATTGAGTGTCTTCTATGTGATCCTCCCTGAGTAGGCAATACTGGGAATGCAGAAAGTATTGATATTTAAAAAGATATTTAGGACATCGACTTTACTTAACCCAAACAATTTGGTGAAAGCGAGGCACACACCAGATAAGTGAGATAGTCAAAGTTTGTAAATCTCTTCAAAAAGATAGAAGTGAGACTTCAAAACACAAAAAATAAGAATACAATATGAATACCACAAGGAAAGAATTATCATTAGAAAACTACAGTGGTATTTTGGTAGGTTGGTATAGCTATCATCACAAACCATACCAGCAAATGTTTTTCATTAAACAGTGACTTTGAACAGACAGATATTTGATGGGGAGATGCCTCCTTAAAGGGTCCACATAGGAGTCTTATTGGATCTTTTTCTTAAGTGTGAGCCATGAGCTGGCAGTGGCATGGAATTACATGATTCATTTCCTGAACTGGAATCTGCATTTTAACATTTTAATGAGATCTCCAGGTGAATCATGAGCCCATTAAAGATTAAAAGACACTGCCTTAGGGTTTTTTTTTTTGAAATATTTGTTACCTCTATGGACATGATTCATTGCATAACCAACTAAACAACTATGATGGGTAGGAGGACATCTCAGGTTTCACAAATGTTGAAAGAAAAAGTTCAAAGAGCATTAGAATTTTAACAAGAGGGCAGACCAATATGATACAGAAAGTAGAATTATTCAATAAAGGGTAAAAACATCAGCAGCATTTCATTAAAGTATAGTTGAGTTTTCAATAAAGAAAAAAATCTCTGGGGACTAACAACAGAGGTAAACTGAAAATGAGGATTGTGTGCACCTGCTGCATCTGTGGTTGTTGTGGAGTGAGATATTGAGTGGGAGTTATCAGCTGATAGCTAGTAAGCTGAGCTTTCCTTTCACCTCACTTGAGAGAGAGAGAGAGAGAGAGAGAGAGAGAGAGAGAGAGAGAGAGAGAGAGAGAGAAAAGCAAAGCACTAACCATGCATTTGGTAGTAAAATTCCCTGGTGCAGTTAGGGCCTTTGAAAGGCCGTGTCATCAAAGAAAAGGGAGCTTCATTTGCTCTGAACTTGAGGAATAAAGAGTAAAGCACTGGACCCTTTTAAGGTGGGTATTTCATAGTGGGATCCCTTCCTAAAGTTGGCACTTATGAGTTTTATAATCCTTGAATGAGAGAAGATGGTGACTTTCCTTTACAGAGATGGGGAAGGGATATACTAATATTTATAAGAAATCAAAAGGGGATTTAAGTTCTGAATTGGTCCCTAACTGGTGAAGCTACTGGTATCCTTTTTTTTTTTTTTAGAGAGAGAATTTTAATATTTATTTATTTATTTTCAGTTTTTGGTGGACACAACATCTTTGTCTGTATGTGGTGCTGAGGATCAAACCCGGGCTGCACGCATGCCAGGCGAGCGCGCTACCGTTTGAGCCACATCCCCAGCCCAAAGCAACTGGTATCCTTGATAGAAACAAATGTGAAACTATTCTTGGGAGACACTCCCACAATCGAAGGTATATGGGTTCTCAATGAAAATTTGTAAAGATAATGTCACAACACAAACTGTGAATTATATTAGGACATAGATTTTATGTCAAAAAATAGTGGAATGATTTATCACAACAAACTTAAAATAATAATAAATAATAGTCTTAAACATAAAATAAAATTATTATATTAATAGTGATTAAGATATTAAATCAAGACCTAAAATGCAATGAAATAACTTAGGAATGATGAAATAACAAATTTTAAAAATGGAAATATTAATTAAAATTAAAAACAATATATTAAACAAGGACTTGGTCACAACTAAATATTGAATATGTGAACTTCATATTTAATTAAATCACCCAGAATGAAACAACAAAAGAGAAGGAAAAGAAAGGTTAAGTGAATACAGAAGATAAAATGAGGTTCGACATATATTTAGAAGAGTTTCATCACAAAAGAATAATGAGAATCATTGCAAAGCAATATTCTGAGAGACTATAGCTACAAATTTTCCAGAATTGGTATTTTAAAAATAGGCAGAATTAATAAAAACAAATCAATAGTCAGGCCCTTTGTGGTGAAATTGCGGAACACTAAAGCCAAAGGTTTTTAAAAAATAAGGCAACTACAGAGAAAAGACAGATCTCTTACAAAAGAACCAGAATTAGTTTGACAGAGTACACAAAAGAGGCCAGAAAATCATGAAAATTATGCCTTCAAAGTGCTAAGAAAATATAACAGTCAATCTAGAGTTACATACAGAAATAAAGTATCTTGGTAAAGAAAAGGTGAAATAAAGGCATTGAAGACTGTGATGTTTCACTGAAGGATCTACAAAAGACTGCTCTTGATAAACAAGAAAATGGATCTCAGTGGAATAAGTAGAGTGTGATAACCTCTGTGGACAAAGAATCAGGGAGTCACACCAATCAGTGGATTAGCAAAACACTTAATGCTTAGCCACGCCATAATGATAATTTGGGAGTATTAGAAAATTGGGGGGGGGATTAGAAAATAAAACAAGGTCAGATAGGAAGGCTGTGAATAGAGGTAAAATATTTTAGAGAGATTTATTTTACAAGAGGAAACCAGACTTTCTGTATGCACTCAGTAATTCATAACATTGGCTTAAGAATAATCCTAACACAGGTAAATAGGAATATAACTTTGCTATCAATAGAAATAAACGAATGAGGAAAAGATCAGTCCTACAGAAAGCGAGGACTAGAGAAATACAGAACCCTGTGAAAATAAAGCCAAGGACGCCCATAACCATACCACCTCTAACTTCAAAGGACGTTATAGTTAAAAGACAAATGTTCAGATTAAAATGATTTAGCTGTATAATGCTTATTAAAATATACCTAAAATGTTAAAAATGTTGACATCAATGAAATATAAGATCTTTAAGTGTTTTAAATAAATGTCAGTTAATAGTCTTGATTGTTTTTTCCCAAACATGAATAAAATTCATGTGCTAGATTGACCATGTACTAGACCAAGAAGAAAGGCTCCAAAACAAACAAAATAACATGCAAAGATTAATGTACATAGACAAAAATTAAATAAAATTAAAATCCAATAAGAAAATTGGAACATCCTCTTTCCCCTCTCTCTTCCTTTTCAAATGAGTTTGGATAATTTAAAATAGCTTTCTAAAGAATTTGTGGATCAAAGAATCTGCTGTGCGACCAGCACGCTAGCGTCATACTAGAGGTTCAAAACATAGAAGTTAACTAGTGAGATCAAATTAAAGACACATAACTCTCAAATTACCTTTTTCTTGCCCAGCTAAGAGACGGCTTCTCCGGCTCCTACCTCTAGCCACCTGACAGGGTAGCAAGGTTTACACAAGAGACCAGCAAGAGAGAGAGAGGCACGCCAGAGAGTGAGATTTATTGGGGAACAAAAAATTCAGGGGAAAATTCCATCCAATGAAGGTCGAGGGGGACAGCATTCCAAGGTCAGGGTCAGTGATTGGTTTCCAGGTCAATGGTCAGTCACACCCCCACATGGACAAGCCCTCGCACCTGGAAAGGGTGGGGAAAGCTCTGACACAGCTTGTCTAAAGCGCCTCACACCCAGCCAGGGAGGTAGCTCAATCACGTGCGAGAACGGCTTCCCACAAAATAATATATAGTGGAAATCACAAAAGGATTAGAAATGAAAGCCACAAATGAGAAGAGTATGCATTTTTATTATTTATTTATAAAAATTGTTTATGCCTACCATATGCCTTCTCCCATATGGATATGTTCTTCCCAGATGTCTCCACTGTGTACCTCCTTATTGCTTATAGCCACTAGCCACACATGGCTATTGAGTACTTAAAATGTATCTGGTTTGAATTGACTTATGATATTATTGTAAATTGTTCATTGGATCTTGAAGATTCCATGTGGAAAAAGAGAATACAAATTATCTATTCACAATATTTTCTATTAATTGTATGTTGAAAGAATGATGGTTTAAATGTATCAAGCTAAATAAAATATATTATAAAATTAATTTTGCCTCTCTATTTTTATCATTTTAAATATGGTAAGAAGAAAATCAGAGAGGTGATTTGCATTCTATTTTGCCTGAACAACACTGTTCTAAACAGTTCTCTGACATCTCAGGTTAAAGAACCAGGCCAGGATAGAGGAGGTAAAAAACCATAGTCCAAGAATAGGTCTGGCAGGGAAACCATGTCATTGCATTATTGCTTTTTTGAGGTCAGGGTAACAGGGACAGGTTTTGGGTTCTGGTGTTTTGACAAGAGTGATTGACTATGTTGGCAGACCCCCTGCTATAACTCCTTACATAACATGGACTTTGGTGCTTCCTGTTCCACTGCAGTGACCCAGGAACCCTAAAAAGAGTGTCTTTCATCTGATCTACTACCCATCTCCCTCTACAGTATTCATCTTTCCAAATCTTGCTATTTGATTTAAATCCAGAGTTGCTCTATTTTATTTTCTGATGACCATATAATTTTCTCAGAGCCAGCAATTTTTTTTAATATTTATTTTTTAGGTGTAGATGGACACAACCCAGCACCTTTATTTTTATGTGGTGCTGAGGATCAAACTCAGGAGAGCAAGCAATTTTGAAGTGACTTTTAGAATCTCTTTTCATTCCAGTCACATTGGAACAACATGTAACATGGATTTCATTACTTGAATGTGTTTGACTCTGTCTTTTGATATCTAAGTTGATCTCACTGGTTAAAATTCTTGGCATTTAACTTATGGTTATTAAAAGATGTGGATGGCATAATTATATGATCAAAAACATTGAAAAATATGATCCTCTTGTTCAAGTTAATTTAATGTAGTGGTTTTTACCTGGGGACAATTTTATGGTAATGTCTGGAGATGTTTTGGTTATTATGATCTGAGGAGGAGATGCCCTCGCATCTATTGGTCAGAGGCAACAGATCCTTTTAAATACCTTACCATGCACAGAACAGCTTCCCACCACAAAGAGTGATATAGCCCCCAAATTTTAATAGTGTTCAAATTGATAATCCCTAATGTAAGATAATCTGATGAAGAATATATAGAAATTTTATACATATAAATGTACATAGAATAATTAATATGTATATATTAATATTTGTATATTCATTATTAATATGAATTTATAATAAAGTATAACATCTAAGCAAAAAAATGCAGAAGTCTTAAGTGCACATCTCAATAAATTTTCACAAATTTAGCATACCTGTGAAACCCAAGAACAAAACATAATTAATAACCAAGAAGCCCTCTCATGACCCTGTTCAGTCATCATTTCTTGCCATAGATAAGTGCTCTTCTGATTCCTAACATCAAAAATAAGGTTTGCCCATGTTTGAACTTTATAGAATGTGAATCATAGCCTGTTCTTTTTTGTGTCTGCCTTCTTTTTACATTCCTACAATTGATGTTGCTATATAGCAGCACTTTGTTCTTTCTTATTGTTGTATAGTATTCCCTTGTATGAATGTTATTTATGTATGAATTTCCTTGTATGAATGTTACTTACTCAACAACTGAAACACATAAGAATAGTTTTTAGGTTTCGGCTACTAAAAATGTGCTGCTCTGAAATAACAGGTATCATTTTTGTGAAATATGTACCTATTCAGTGGGAGCTAATCCTGAGCATAGAATTGCCAGATATGGGACACTGAAACATCCATGGTTAGTGGATATTGTCAAATGTTTCCCCAAGTAATTGTACTGATTTATACTCCCACTAATAGGATATGACACCCATTTTCTTTTTAAAGAGTCAGTCCAGATGATGGATGTGTGGTTGTAGGGATGTATTTCTCAAGGTCACCATTTCCACCTTGAGCTAAGAAGGCAGTAGAGAACAGTCCTGATCTTACATCCTTCCAGTCATTAGGTGACTGTACTATGTTCTAATGAATAACCGTGATGACCTTATGGATCCGAGGACACAGTATCAAGTGTGGAGAATGTGTGGGCTAATAAACCATTTGGAAGAAGTAGTTCTTTGAAACTGTTGGTTTGTTCCCACTGCCTTCTTGCAGTTAATTTCGACAAGTAAAACCAAGCACTGCAATCCTGTTGTGACAAAAATAACTATAAGATTTTGATATGCTTGCTTTCAGCAAATGTCACCCAAATGTCTTGCCTTTAATGCTGATGCTCTTCTCACTGTGCTGAGCTATTTCACTGTACACAGTATTTTCTTCCAAATGTCTCAATTACCTCATGTTGGAGACCCTCAGTCTGTAATGTAAAAAAAAAAAAGTCTCTTGTATGTAAAAGAAGTCTTTGGACTCTTTTAGATAAGAAACCTTGTGAAAATACAGGTATTATAAACATAATAGCAGTACTGATATTATTTTGACTCCTCCAACTATTCTTAATATCATATTCCCTTTGTTAATTTTTTTTATCACTGGAAGTTTTCCAATTTCATGTAAATTAGCATCACAATCTTATAAACATGTTTCTATTTATTGAATCCCAGGTCAAAGTAATTATACAACAAAGAACAACAGTTTTCATACCAGACTGCGTGCATGCATGTAAATTGGGGTTCTCGCCAAGGTGGTAATGAATACAATCTCAGGTTTCATGAGATGAATCCAAAAATGGAAAAACTAATAACAGAGTTCTCAAACCTCAGATAACTGGAGTCAAGTTATCTTTCTTCTCCATAAAACTAGCTTCTTCATTTTAGACATGATGTATTAGGTAGTCTAAAAATAAATCATAGGGGAAAAAATCTGAGACTCTCATGCATGAGAAAAAGTGAATTTTCATCTTTTAAAAAAATTTGAATAGCCTCACTACACCACAGTGATTTACACCCAATCTCATCTGCCTGGAATAACAGTTATACCTATAGGACAGTATAGTGTCATGGGAAGAAGCATTAAGTCTACCAGGTTCAAGGTTTACTTTTCAAACTCAACAGCCATGTGACCCTCAGCAAGTGACTTAGCTTCTCAGAACCTCAGTTCCCTATTTAGCAATAATGGGGGACAATGATAGCACCTATTTCATAGCTGGTGAAAATTAAAAGACACCATTTATTGCATACAGTTATCTCAGTGCCCAGGATAAAGTAAGTGTTCCACCAATGGTAGCTGCTAGGAGGTGCCTGACAATAATGCAAAACAAGGAAGACACAGGTGGCATTCACATTCCTCTACAATCCTTTGTGGTAAACTTGTGTTAAAGTGACTATGGGACCATGCTCAGAAAGTGAATGAGATGAGTTCATGGTGGAAACACCTGAAGTGAATTTAGCCACTTTTAAAGGTGGGGCCCTATGAAAAGTAAAGTGATATCCAATTTCTTAAAGCTTTGTGGTGGGATGATTAAGCAATCAACTCTGGAGCTAAACTCTCAGGTTCTGCTGCTTTTATACTCTGTATGACTTAGTTAAGTCATTGAATCTCTCTTGTCTAAACAATAGGCCTTGTCTCTCAGGGTGGTGTGTGTGTGGGGGGATATATATGTTGTTAATATTGTTCTAAAGACTAAGTCAATGTATGTGGGGTACCTGCCACATAGTAACTGTTATCAGATGTTTACTATTATAATTATTCAACTGACATTATTTTGGGTGTCTTGTAGAAAGGTCACTTGCAGACTATACAGGGAGAAAACAGCAATTCCTAAATAAACATAGGGAAGTGATTACACTGAGTTCAGCTCAGGGCTGAGTTCTGTTCTCGGGCGAGCTTTTTGCAGAGACTGCTAAATGCTGAAATGCATGTGGTACCTCGAATTTCAACTTGGCAGATGCTTGGTTCCAAACTCTTGGAAACATGAATAAGAATGGCAGAATCTGTGGAGAGGGTCATTTCAGAACTATAAGCAGTTTTTCTAGAACTTGGGACTTGAACACAATGTTGATGAACATTATTTCCATATTCAGAGGAAAATCAGTGCATGGCCCTTTCAGTTTTGCAAATCTAAATCACAGGTTGTAATTTTGAAAGGAGGTGTTAGAGAAGCTGTAGCTATAAGGATAAACTGTTCTGCATGATCATGGAAAAGGTCATCTATGAAGTAGGCAGAATGGCATTTCTTGAAGAGGCTTCTTCTGAAAAAAAAAAAAAACAAGTCTCTTTTCTAAGTACAGATTTAGATGTCTACAAACTGATGTTTATATTGTGTTTCTGCTCTTCAGTGGCTTCTTGGAGGTGGCTGGGGTCTGGAAAAGCTGAAGGAATCACTTTCACTTTCTCCAGGAGAAAGTGCTATGAAACACTTTTAAATCTTACAAGTTCAAGATTGAAACTTGGAACTTTCAAAACTTTGAAAACTAAAGGAGCCATCAATTCTTAATTATTTGGAAGCAAGTGATGTAAAGCAGCAGATTCTGCAGCTTCCCCAGGCTCCCCA